GATGATGACGATGATGATGATGATGATGCTGATGCTGAATAGTGTGATGCTGATGAGGATGATGATGATGACGATGCTGATGAGGTTGATGATGATGATGCTGATGCTGACGATGATGCTGACGATGGTGATGATGATGACGACGATGATGATCGTGATGGTGATGGTGATGGTGATGACGATGCCAGGAGGAGTGGAGGGGAGGAAGACGGGAGTGCGCGTCGGTATTGTTGGGCACGGCGCCCGCGAGACGACGGCAGCATTCGCAGATGCAGGGTTGCCAAAGAGGAATAACTATGCCCGTACGAGAAGGAGGATGGGGATGGGGAGGGGGAGGAGGAGCAAGAGGAGGAGGACGAGAGGGCAGGATACGGAGGAGGACCATGATGAGGAGGATGGGGAGAGGGGTGGGAGAGACAAAAACCAACCCATACCAATGAGACATACCATAATTCCCCCCCGTCACACCCTGCATCCCCCCAACCCACACAGGCCCCTTCCACCCCCAGAGGAGGTAGACGATGAGGAAAGGGGAGATGGACGAGGAGGACGACGGGGTATACGGAGGAACACAGGAGGAGGAGGAGGGCTCCTGATGAGGAGGGTGGGGGGGAGGGGGGGGGGGGGTTGCGTCGCGAGGCGGGGGGTTTGGATGGTCGGCGCCGCGTGGTGAGGAGACATTGCGGGTCCTGAATAGGATGTCATCCGCCTCGTTTTTGCCCTCGGCCTTTGCGAGGCGGAGGTGATAGAGGAGGAGGAAAGGGAGGATGATGAGGAAAACGAGGAGCGGGAGAGGACACATCACAAGACAGAACATGAAGCTCGCGGGGCCCTGAACGAAATCAATGCCGTATCAGCGTGAGGGGGAGGGATGATAAGGAGGGGAGGCGGAGGGGGTGGATGAGCAGAAGGTGAGTGGGGTGGAGAAAGTATTGGATGAGCAGGAGGTACGAGGGGGAGGAGTAGGAGGAGGCGCAGGAAGCGACGGCGAGGGTGGATGGATGGCAGCGAGGAGGACCAGGAATCACCCTCCCCTTCTCACTCCTCACGTTCTCGCTCCTCCTCCTCCTCCTTCCTCCTCCTGATCGGGAGCCTGCACCTTCCCCATCCCTGCCAGCGAGCGAAGACGAGCTGGCATCGCTGGCGCTAGCCCCTCGCCCGGCATGCGCCGTTCGCCACCGATGTCGAGCCTCGATGTGGGCCCCCGCGACCCCGACAGCGCACCGCCCTCGAAGCAAATCGGCCCGAGGAGGAGGAGGAGGAGGAGGAGGAGGAGGAGGAGGGGGAGGAGGAGGAGGAAAGGGAGGAGGGAGGAGGAGGAGGCGGAGGAGGAGGAGGAGGAGGAGAGGAGAGGAGGGAAGAGGAGAGGAGGAGAGGAGGAGGAGGAGGAGGAGGAGGAGGAGGGAGGAGGAGGAGGAAAGGGCGGAGGATGGAGGAGGAAAGGAGGCGGAGGAGGAGGAGGAGGGGAGGGGGAGGAGAGGAGGATTTTAGCAAACCGGCCGAGGGCGGAGGAGAACGGAGGAAGGAGGAGGGCGGGAGGAGCAGCTGTTGCGACAGTGGCCCTCCCGGGCCGACTCAGGCCCATGCCCCCTCCCCGCGCGGTGGTGCCCCGGTCGCGCTCCCCCCGTGCTCCCCCCGCTGACTCCGCCGCCCTGCTGTGCCTGCCCCCCCCCCCGCCCCCCGCCCCGTCCTGTCGGCCCCGCTCCCCCCTCGCCCCTCCTCCCCCCCCCCTCGCCCCTCCCCTCGCCCCTCCCCTCACCCTCACCTACCCTCCCTCGCCACTACCCTCCCCCTCGCCCCTCCCCTCCCCACTCGCCCCTCCCCTCCCCTCTCCCCTCCCCTCGCCCTCTCCCCTTCCCTTCGCCCCTCCCCTTCGCCCTCGCCGCTCCCCTCGACCTTCTCCTCCCCCTCTTCCCCCATCCCTCCCCTCGCCCCTCTCCCCTCTCCCCTCGCAACTCGACCCTCCCCTCCCCTCCCCCTCGCCCCCTCCCTCCCCACTAGCCCCCCCCCCCCCCCACCCCCCCCCCCCCCCCCCTCCCCCCTCTGCCCTTTTACCCTCGCCTATCCCCTCCCCTCCCCTCCCCACCCCCTCCCCTCGCCCCTCCCCTCCCCTCACCCCTCCCCTCCCTCCCCCCTTCCCCTCACCCCCCCCCCCCCCCTCGCCCCCGCCCCTCCCTCACGGCCCCCCCCTCCACTCTCCCCTTCCACCTCGCCCCTCCCCTCCCCCTCGCCCCTCCCCTCGCCCTTCACCTCCCCTCCCCTGGGGTTATGGTACCGCGGCTCGTGCGGCTGCCACTGTCAGTCCCAGCCCAGGGGGCTCAGCCAGCCACGCCCGCCCTCTGATCTCCAGGACACGGCAAGATTTCTTGGACGGGATCTCGCGGGATATCGAGCCCAAGCGCAAGGGCAGAAGCTTGGCACGCCTCTTTCTATCACTACGTGATGGCGGAAATCCTGGACATCCACCCTCCCCCTCGCTCTCACCGTCGCGTGAGCGGTCAGTGTCCGCTCCCTATCTCGCTCCCTCGCCCATCACCCCATCCTCGGTCTTCTCCCCGTCACCGAGTGCCTGCCTGCTGTTCCTCCGGCCCGGCTCTTGGTCGGTGTGCGCCCAGAGTGCGGTGACGTCTGCCCGGCCGCCGCCGAACGGTGATAGCCACTTCGAGGGGAAGTGCTTTTTGTTCCCTTCCCCCTTGGACGGGCCCACGGGCGGCGCACCAGGCGAAGCCTCGGCCGGCCCATGCAGCGCGCGAAGCGCCCACGAGGCGCCCACGGGGCGGGGCACCCCCGCGAAGCCTGGGCTCAAGTCGGGCGTGTCCCTCTACGGGGGGAAGATTCAAACATGTTTTTGTTGTTGTTTATTTATTATATTTTAGATTTTTTTTAATTATTTTTTAATAAACAAAAAAAAAAACGTCTGGGGACGACTTGTTGACTCTTTTTTGAATCTCCTGGGGGGGGTGCTTTTTGGAGCATTTCTTTCTCTTGCGCCCAGGCTGGCCTACCCAGCTCGGGGCAGGCGCCCACGGCCGGTCACGGGCGCCCACCAGACCGGACATCGGGCGGAACCTCGGCCGACCCATCCAATGCCTCCAAACAGCCCAGGTAACAAACCTTTTAAAGTGCTTGTGGAACATTGGCGTAGCATTGTTGTCAAGGCCTGTTGCGGCCACTGTCGAAGCGAAGGCGAAACGTGAACAGTGTTTGGGGCTAGCACGCGGTGGCATCCCGTGGGCATTCAGCATCCTAGAGCTCAGCTGCATGAAGTGCCCGCCACAAGCTTTTCGAACTCCAATGGATTATGCGTCCTGGTTTGAGCTCCCTTATCCTCTTTTCTCTCCCTCCCTGCCCGGCTCCTCCCTGCCGCCTTAATCTTTCTGTCCTTCCTCCCGTCCCGTTCTCCTCTCCCGCCTCCGTACCCAATTGGCTCAAGGCGTTCTCCACCAGTTGTGAACCGCACACACGCTGAAAGACCAGATGCAGGCATGCAGCAATACTGTGCTCTGCGCACTGGATTCAGAGCTCGAGGCTGTCCTGCAAAAAGACGCACATGAGCTGGAACGAGAGAGGGCTGCGAAACGCGTGAAATTGACGATGGAAGGTATAGCCAAAAAGATCGGGCTCCCCCGAGAAGTAACAATGTTTGGGTCTTGCTCGAATGGTTTCAAAAACGGGACGTCAGATTTCGATATTGCACTTGTTAGTAAGATTGATGCTGGACAGGCGGTGCACTACCTGGCCAAATTTGCAGAGCAGTTGCCATCTTGTGGCTTCGGTAACGTCACAAAGGTCTTCCAGGCGTCGACGAAGCTGTTGAAGTTTACAGACGTGAGGACACAAACGGAGGTGGACTTTTGCATCAACAATGACCTAGGGGTTAGGAACTCAAGGATGCTTGGCTGCTACTGTGAGGTTGACCAGCGGGTGTCGAAACTGGGCCGGCTCATCAAAGATTGGGCAAAGAGGCATGACCTGGTTGGCAGTGCCGATGGTTATTTGAACAGCTACGCATACATGCTCCTCACAGTTTTTTACCTTCAGCAGACAACGCCGCCTGTGTTGCCCAACCTGCAAAAAATGGCAACGGAGCCTTTCCTGGTTGACAGTGACAAGTGGGGCATGGAGGACACATGGGACACCAAGTTTTGGGACGACATAGGGGGCTTGGAGAAGTCGAACAACGAGATGACCGTCAGCCAACTGCTCATCGGCTTTTTTCATTTTTACGGATTTGCTTTCGAATGGAAGTCCTGTGCGGTGTGCATTCGGGAGTCCCAACCAGGGCAGTCGGTGAATAAGTTCACCCTACAGACTCGCGTCATCGAAGAGCAGTGGTACATCGAGGATCCGTTCGACTTGCGGCACAATCTGGCTGGGAGGTGCAGCCGCGCTGGTCGCGAACGGATTCTGAGCACCATGAGGGACACGCACGAGGTGTTGTCCAGTAAGGGCCGCTGGGATCTTGCATGCCCCCTCAGGGAATCCAGCAAGCACTTCCTCAAATGCCGCACCGCCCATGACGTTACCCCGCAGGCCTTCCTCGAGGCTTTCGAGGAGTTCGAGTTGGTCAAGCTGCACTTTCCCAAGCCGTGCGACCAGGGCAGTTGTCATTTGAACACGTTCCTGGAATTTAGAACCAGTGCGGCGCGCAGGCGTGCGCACACCAAGAACGAGTGCCACCTGGAGGGGTGCTCTCAGCAGCTGCACCTGCACGCCAGTTCGCAGCACGCCCTCGAGGATGCGATGCAGGCCCTCGAAGCCACCGGCGGGTCGTACTCCACCTTCGAGATGCTTCCTTACAAGCTGCAGAGGCGGGTCCAGCAGAACCGATGCGGCCTCGATGGTGCCAGTGCGTGGCACGGAGTGGAGCAGCAGGACGGGCCTGGTGTCTACGGGGCCACCCTTGTCTATGAGGCCCCAGGCCTTCCTAGAAGGCCTCCTCCATCACTCTAGTCCGTCTTGTCCGCCGCCAACAGGAGGTAGCACTGAGTAGATCCACC